TTGGCCACTGAAAATCTGCGGCAGGCCCAACAGCAACAGAAGGAGAGGTACGATAGGCAAGCCCGGTCATGAGAGTTCCAACCTGGACAGAAAGTACTCATGTTGCTGCCCATCTCCGCCAGTAAGGTGTTGACCCAATGGCAAGGCCCATTTGAAATTGTACGGAGGGTAGGGCCCGTCGACTATGAGGTGTTTAGGCCAGGACATCTTAAGCCTAAACAAATTTATCACGTTAACCTGTTACGGGAATGGAAACAACCCGAAGGTTGGGTGACTTTTACGGAGGAGGAAGATTTCGGGCCACAAGGGAGGGAGGTTAAACCAGAATCACGGGGCCCGCTGATAAGGGTAGGGGAATCCTTGACCCCCAAACAGAAGGAAGAGGTCCATCAAATCTTAAAGGAATTCAAAGGGACATTTCGGGAAGAGCCAGGGTGGGTGCAGGGCACTTACCACTATATACAAACGCCTCCTGGGGCTATAGTAAGAGATCGATGGAGGCCCATACCCCACCATCTGACAAGTGCTATAAAAAAGGAAATAGACAAGGTGCTAGAATTAGGGATCATAAGGCCCTCACAACGTCCTTGGCGAAGCGCCATCGTGCCGGTACCCAAGCCTGATGGCACTTTAAGGCTATGCGTAGATTACCAGCGGCTGAATGAAATTGCTATATTCGATGCCTTCCCAATACCGCACATTATGGAATTGGTGGAGAGAATTGGGTCCGCTAAGTTCATATCCACCCTAGACTTAGCGAAAGGCTATTGGCAAATACCCGTGGCCCCGCGGGATAGGCCCAAGACAGCCTTTGGCACGCCTTGGGGCTTATACGAATTTATAAAGATGCCATTTGGATTACATGGGGCGGCGGCCACGTTCCAACCATTAATAGAAAAAGTTCTAGCTCCACATACAGATTATGCGGCTGCTTATATTGATGATATTGTGGTTTTTACCCAGACATGGGCACAGCATGTCAGAGCACTAAGAGCGGTGTTAAGGGAGCTGAAGATGACAGGATTAACAGCCAACCCCAAAAAGTGCACTTTAGCCCAACAACAAACCAAATATTTAGGTTTCCTGGTGGGACAAGGGACCATACGACCATTAGCGTGAGGTACGGCACAATCAAACGCGAGTGTCTAGCCATAAAATGGGCTGTGGAACATTTCAAATATTACTTGCTAGGGCGGGAATTTATCTTGATCACGGATCATGCCCCGCTAAAATGGCTTAACATAGCAAGGATGGACAACGCCCGAATTACGTGCTGGGCTTTGGCGCTACAACCATACAAGTTCCATAATGCACCAGGCCGGAGTAAACAACATAATGGCAGACTTTCTTTCTAGATACTCCATGGCCTCTTGTGAAACCATAGCGGACCCAGAGCATAAGACTGGTCCGGAGGGTACAGGTAGGGTCGCGACACCCTCGAACGGACCGCCCCGAGGCAGCTTAAGGGTGGGGGTTGTGTCACAGGCGGAGAAAGACCGGGGAGACTCCCGAGCACATGGAGGGAGCCCCAGAGCCAGAGGCAGGGGGTGGAATGGAGAAAAAAGAAAATAAAAAAAAAATAACTTACTCACCGCAGGATGCGAGGAAGAGCAGGGACAGCCGGAGAAGCTCACGCGTGGCCTGGACAACGCCTTAAGTCACCTTCAGTTGGCGGGTGACGTCACTCCTAATCGCCGGCCGGCGGCGATAAAAGGGCCGGCGGCGGAGAGGAGCGGGGCTCGCATGTGGCTGCCGGGAGGGAGCCTGGCTGGTGGAGAAAGTTGCAGGCGTGGAACGCCAGAGCTGACTGCCGGCGCTCCCCACAGAGAATTAAAGAAGCCCGGGGACGAGCCAACACCTGAGGAAAGCGCGACAGCGGCAGGGGGGGCCGGGGGGAGGGGGGG